TCTTGTGCGGCCTCCTTGTACGGTTTCAAATGTTATTTATATTTTAATGTATTCAATTACTTTCAAGCAAGAAACAAATGCAAATATCGTACTAACTTACATTTTCCATCAGATTTAAAAATTATTTTCCGTATTATTACTATGTTGGTTATTTATAACTTAATATTATTATTTTTCTATTGTATTCCTTTATAAAGTAACAAATTTATGTAAAAATTCTTCTACTAATATTTTTATTTAAAGTGGTATTTAAATATGTATAGTTGTTTATTAAAATTTAAAGATCTAGATGAATGCATATATATGCTTAAACAAATAAAAATACCAACAGTGAAATATAAAAAATTATAGTGGCCTCATTTATTACTGCCTAATTTAAATGTGACCTCTAATGTTAAAAAGGTTCCTCACTTCTGCGCTATACCTTTGCTCTATACAGTGTGTCCCAGAACTAATACTACGCCTTAAAGTGTGAGGTTCCTGAGGAGATTTGAAACAATATTTTCCTTTGCAAAAATGTTATGCGAGGCATGGTTGTTGAGTTATTAACGAAAATCCCCAACCGATCAGAGTGCCCGTATAGTGGGCAGCCAGGGGAACAAGAATCGCCTCGTGCGTTGTCGCGCCCGTATGCCATGCTCGTGACGAGAACTTAGGATTAAAATAAAACTTACATACAAGAGCAACTAAGAAATTGACGAAATAATGATTGAAAAAATAAATCAATTAGTCGTTATGTTGTTGTTAGTTATGTTCACTGAACAGATGCAACATATTCAATGTGTAAACTAACCTTATTACACAGTAGATAGAGTATAAAAAATGGGAAAAGAATTTCAGTCGGCACTTATTCCTTCGTCTTTAAGTTCACCTGCTCCTAGAAGAATTTCAATGGATCAGTGGAACGATCTTCTACACTCGAAGATAGAAACACTCGGCCCGCAGAACAGGTTAATGCACTTAATCTTGTCTTCGTAGCGCGATCACTTCCACTTTCTCACTTTCATCGGCTCCCGGACAAAATTTCACGAAATATAATTATAATTTTACTTTCACAGACAGCTGCACTGTCACTTTTCACGTTGCAGTTTTCAACCGGGCACTACGTTATTTTAATTATTGGCTCTGAAAAGGGCCAATTGTTGTTGAACGACAAAAGTCGTTGCACGTTGTATGTTTTGATAGCCGTGAAGAGGGCCGATTGTACTGATACAGATATGGTTCCATGTGACCGAAATAATTCTACGGCCGCCACCGGGTTGCACCCAGCTTGCGCGTAAATAACGAGCATGTAGTAATATTCCGCGTTCGTCAATATTCACGCCACGATTCTGCTAAGTAGCACAAGACAAAACCGAATGACTGATCGCTCGCATTATCCATATGAGCAACGATATTTCTATTTCTAACTTTCATTGCATTCAAATCACGAATTTTTTTGCAATGGAAACAATTGCATTACCACGGCCGTCTTTAATAGAAGACTGGAACCTACTCCACCACCTAGGCCAATACGGCCTGACAAATTTTTGTCACGCTAGTTTCTTTTCTTAAACGTATCATATGTGGAAGATATTGTAATATTGTATTATCTATACTTATCTATACAGGGTGTTCCGGAAAGATTGTTAGAGCCGAAAATGGCAGATGGGGAGGAGCATTGTGAACAACAATTTCCTTTGGTAAAATACGAAATGGGGCTTGGTTACCGAGTTATTAACAAAAAACACGGACCAATCAGAGCGCTCGGTTGAGGCGGTCTCCGTTTCGGGAGCGCTGGCTCGGAGACAGCCGGGCGACTTTTCTCGCGTTTGAACAAGCGCTCCGCTCGGAACGAAGCGTTTTAAGAAAATGACGAATAACAAACTACATTAATAACAATGCAAGGAAATTGTTGTTCGTTTGTTATTATGAATAACAATTAATACACTTAATCGTTATTCACGTGGAATGGATGAGATAGATTGTTGATAATTGATGAATGATGATAGGATAAATGAGGAATTAACAAGTCGCAGGGAATATTGAATTAAAAAGGAAATGTAAAAACTGTAGAGATTTAGACTTACCCATTCATTCGCAAGTGCACCTGCTAACGATGGGCCACGGTCAATGGGTCAGCGTCTTTGCCGCTCGCAGGTAGGCCACAGCTGATCTTCTGTTCAGGGAAGGAACCCCGCAATCCACCGCACGATCATTGTCACTCTTAAAAATTTTAACACACTAAGATTGTTGCTCCTACGTCCTATCAATAAACGTCTTTGAAAGCAGCCGATTGATTTTTATACACAAATGCACTTTCATTACACCACTGTCACTCTTCACTTAAAAATTTTCAAACACTTACACTGTCGTTCTTGCACTCTAACATTAAACGTCTCCGAAAGGAACCGATTGTTTTTCANGATTCTGACAGTGACTAACTGACTTCTAACCCACTGACTTCTAACCCACGGTTTTAAAGATTATAAAATTGTAGTCTAACCTAAACGCTAACCCTAACAGTTATAATTAACCATGTAATTAACCGATATCCATTACAGTTTCATTTTATAAATATTTATTTGATGTCTACTGACGAAATGTACAGCCAAAACAAGTCTAGTAATCTTAAAAATAACTGACCATGCCTAATATACCCCCACTAAGTGTGTACTAGTCCCCAATATCCGCGTGAGGGATTTTTCATAGCAGCCCTGCGTAGTACTAATTCTGGGACACCTTATATACTCTGATTTTTCAAAATTTTTCGTACACTCGAAGGATAGAAATGAAATATAATTCATAAATTGCATAGTTGTTTGTGTTAATGCAAGTTTGTAATTTTTTAAAAATATGATATGCGACCAAAAATCTGAACAAATTTAGCGGTGTGCACTATACCCCTGCCGAGGCATCTGATCTTTTTCGGAATTTTCAGTACCCCAGGAACAGAGAAATAAAATACAAATCCTAAATTGCGTGATAAATTCTATCAATCCAATTAAAAGAAATAATATAATAACTGCAAACGAAAAATGTTGCTCGAAAGAGAGTCACTGAGAAATATCAGTGAAGAAGTAATGGCTTCGTTTACCGGTTGGAGTACAGTTGACAGTAGATTGACGTGGATTTAGGGAATAAGAGAAAAGAAAGAGAACGGTACTGGCCTGCCACGGGAAGGCCCGATTCCCTCAAGTCTCAGCCTCCGACTTGGTTCCCGGATTTAGTATTTAAGCCAAAATCAATAGACGCGTGCGTCGATCTGATAAGTACATTCAGAGAAAGACAGAGACTGCTGTTCTCAAAAGTTGTAATAAAAGATTCAATGTTTAAACTATTTTTGGAAAAAGATTTTTCACAAGGTATCAGTGATTAATACATGATTCCTATTAATCTTTTGACTACGGCAGACTTTGAGTTGCACCGACTGTACCACGGTAAGAATTCAGTTACGACGTACACCGAGAACGGCGAAACTTTGGGTATTATTAAATAATAATTGGGTATTATTAAAAATTTATTTATTTATTCAAGGATAAGTGCCGATAGGCGCTGTCAATGTCACAAACGCAAAATTTTTAAGCGCCTATAGGCGCCCACAGTAACCTAGAGATTAACTGGGTCGATCAAAAGTGATAAAAAAATCTGAAATGTCATTGTGGCGTGATAATAGGAATTTTTTCGCTACATATTATAATTTTAAGAAATTCATGAAGTTCGAGAGTGGATATAATTACTTATGTTTAGCTTACGATCTTTTTATAATTCGATTTCCTGATGATCAAAACTAAAAAATTCATACCTATATAGGCAAGCTAGAGTGATGCCTGAATTATTGCATAATTTTTGGAGAACTGGTATAGGAGAAATTAAATATCAACTATGAAAAATTCGAGAAATTGTACTTAAGGTTTAGCGATTTTTCAATTCGCATTAGAAGATTTGATAACATTCATAGATCTCCAGTGAGCCCTGAACTACCTATTTGAATTTTTTCATAATTTTTAGACCACTTTAAATGGAGAAATAATTATTGTTTCAGGCCAAATAACTCAGGAGCCACTGCCTGAATTCTTAGCACCGTTGGAGAACCATACAGTGATCCTAGGTCGTGACGTCTCATTCACCTGCGTCGTGAACAATCTACATTCGTACAAAGTAATTCTATAATACGTTATTTATAATTTATAGGTAGTACATATTTATAAATAAATAAGTTATTTATAATAATGTATTTATTGCAATATAATTTTTATTCTTTTTTTATTACAATTTGTATAATTACAATAAATTTATTTAATAATTGTTTATAATAAACAATAATAAATAATATAATATAATAACATAACAATAAAATTAAGTTTATTAGAAAATAAAATTTATAATTAATTTATAATTTACAAATGATTTTTAATTTATGATTCATACATAATTTATTATTTGTCGTTTATAAATTATTTATAGTAAATAATAATAAACAACATAAAATAATAACAAAATATGTTTTATTTTATAATAATTAAAATATTATACTTTTGTTATATAATAAATAAAATATTATACTTTTATTATGTAATACAGATTTCTCCATTTTTAAATAAAATCATTAGGTGGCCTGGATGAAGTCTGATTCGAGGGCGATTCTAGCGATCCACACTCATCTGATTGCCCACAACCCTCGACTCTCTGTGACCCATAATGGCCACAACACTTGGAAACTGCACATTTCCAATGTACAGAAAAATGATTCTGGGGCCTACATGTGCCAAGTGAATACAGAGCCCATGAAAAGCCAGGTAAATCACACTATAATCATAGTTGAACAAGGCTTGGATTTTTTATTCCGATACCACGGTCAAAGCAATGGACCTTTATGAAAGGAATATTGCCTGCTAATTGTTAAAATATTTATAAACAATTTAAAAATATTGTTTAAGGTGGGTATGGGATAATCACATTGAAAAATCCATTTTTCTGAGAATTTTTCATATAAAAATACAACTTCTTAGAAATATTTTCCCAAAACCTCAGGTCATTTGAAGTAAAACTCATTAAGATAATGAGCTATGCACTGCGCCCCTTTTGAACCGGCCGAGAGCGGCAGGCAGGTAGCCGGAGCAGCTGCTTCCTTGCCCTTCAAATTTTATTGCCTTTGTAAATTGTTGTCCTTTGTAAGTGTCATGACAGAACGCGAGCCTACGTCAAAAAAATACGTAGCAATCGCTGACCTCGTGTCATCACCCCTTCGCTGTTGCCGCTGCTGGAAGCGCGTCTTTCATTTACGTACTTCAACATGAGACGTACATAGTTTTTGATTTTTTTCG